TTATATAGATTTGGAGAAGTTCAACGTTCAGTCAACAGAAAAGCAAATTTTTTCTTGATAAATGATGTTTAAATTATTAATGTTATCGTTATTAGTTTGGGCAGAGAAATAAATTGTAAAACTAAAGCAGTAGCGCTAGCGTCTAAGGTTATCGGCACTTGAGATTTGAATACACGACCATTAAGTTGTTAGTCGAGATCATTTCACTATTCGGCCCCTGAGACGGAATAATATTTAAATTAATCTATCAAAAAGTTGTACGCCCGCCTCCAAACTTATTGAAAAAAGTTTAAAAGAAAAATTGAATAATTTTGAAACTATGCTGGATGGCGTTTTGCAAACTCGTCTTCTAAGAAAAGTGCTGCACTTCTATCAAGTTTTTTAACCAACGATTCCAAATTTTGCGACGATAACAAACATCTTAAGGGTGGCCCTTTAAGTCAATAGAATTGAAATTGTTTTGCAAATTTTTTTTTAAAGTTCTCTCACTTTTCAGTTTTTAATATTTTCAAACGATGTGCGATTTTCTCAATATTTTCATACGCGTGGCGTGGAAAGTGAAAAAGACAAAGTATGCAAAGTATGACAAGGAAGGATCTGTCTTTTCATTCTTTGTCTACTCTATCTGTTAGTCACTTGAAATGCGTATTTAAAAATCACCGCAAGGCGAATGTAAATTTCTTAGTTGTTTTTGATCTAACACGCTTGACATCCTAAAGTTAAAAGGTTAACGTGAAATATGCTTTTTATGTAAGCTCGTCTAATATTTTCATAGATAGTGACGTGTGTACAAAATTTTAGTACTCAAGTGTTGTCTCAAAATCAAAATAACATTCTCATGTTCTTTTTTCTTTTTTTTTTTTCCTTTTTTTGTTTTTTCTATCTAGACACATCATACATACTTATGAGTAGTACGTGCGCAGTGCATAGCATGGCTGTATAAAGCTCGCCGAGCATGATAAATTATTTACCCAGTTAATGCATGCATATTATGTGAACATGTATTGCGTGTCACCTTAAGAAATGCTAGTTGTTTGCTTTGCGAGTCTTTGTTTCTCCTTACTGTTTGTTATTGTTCATTTTATGCATACATAAGAGGAAAAAAGAAAACAATTCCGTGATAGCTTAATTCTTCCATTTTCCTTTTCCTCTTTAATATTTAACTTAATATGTTAACGATGTAAATGTCCTTTATGGGAGTTTCTTTCATCTTGGCTTTCTATGAGATTTCATTAAATCATATGTAAATTGCATGTGAGAATCAATCTTATGCACTTATTGTTGGAAAATCAAAGTCAAAATCAAATTCTATGCAAATAATACTTAAAAGGCCTTTAAGGTATATAAGCCTTGCAAGCCTCTAAAGATAGGAAATATATGAAAATCGTTGTTTCCTTTTGCTTGCTAATTACAGTTAATCCAGTTCACCTTTGGCATCGCTTGCTTGTCGCAGTCTATTCAGAGAACAGTCGCTATACTCATTGACAGCAACGCCTAAACAGCTGTCAGCTGTCAAGTGTGTATGCCATGAAAGCCTTAGTTGAATTCTGACATTGTACCTTGCCACCTGCAATAGGACATTAAAGAGCAAAGGGTTCCGTAACTCGCCCTCCCCGTGAATCTCTCAACTAATAATATTATCGACGAGAATCACGTTAATGTTATTTATTCCTGTGAATGATGTTTACCCTTTACAAAGTTATAAGTGATGCACGCTACCTTATGTATTCCATACACTATTAAGCCGGAGTCGTGAAAGAAGTTTAGTAAGTGCCTTCAAGATGTAACGGATTTAACAAAACTTTACATTATGTTGCGCAAATTGAGTAAATAAATTGCAATTTTAATTATAATAATCTGTAAATGAATCCTTAACATCCAATATGGAGCAACTACAAATGCGAAATAAAACCATATAGAGCAAAGTAGAGAAGTAGATTTCTGCATTACTTACTTCTTAAGGATTCGAGTGCAATACCATACGTACCACAACTGCAAACAAAATGTAAATAATTAATGAAAGCTAGTGAAAGCATACAAGAGAGTAAAGTACGATGTAGTAAGTAAGTATCACTGACTGTAATCGAGCAAATCTGAATTCATAATCACTGGCTATTCATTAGTTTATCCTCCATTGAATTATGTGATAAATGAATTTTTTCTCAAATAAATTAAATCTCTTTAACGGGCATTGATTTATGCCTTTTTTTTAGAGAAAAATATTTGCATTTCGGGTTTTCGCATAATTGCGGAAAGGATGCCCTGTTACTTATGTATGCCAAAGTCAACAAGTTCAACTTGTACACTACATGCTAATGATTTTGCAAATTTTGATTTTTGAAGACCTTGCTTATGATTGAAAAAGCCTATACCAAAGGTCTGATCCCCATTCGAAACTTTCCGACAATGTCCACACCAGCTTGGCTATACTATCGCATGCACTAATGGATCCTTAAGAGATTCAATTTGCAATTTGCAGTTGCGGACGAAGTCTTACGATTAAACATTTAGTTCGCGAATGTCACAACCGTTAGAAAACTTGAAAATTCGTATTCGCAGCGTCTGAAGAAATACGTTCTATAGTAAAATATTTATTCAATAAAACGTAGAAAATATTTAAACAAAGCACTTTACTAAGCTTTATAAACTGACTGAGACAACCATCTGGTCTTCTACTTCTGGTCTATAGTTTTTTTTTTTTTTTTATTAATAAAAATAATAAATTTTTAAATTAAAATTTCAAAAATCTCACCAATCATCCTAACAAAAACGAACCCTAACAGCATTTATTCGTTCCTCCGTAGATTCCTTTTTTTAAGTTTTTTTCAGAATAATATTTCCTGCGTACTGATTGAATGCTGTTTTAATTAAATAAATAAATCACTCCAAAATATAATTTTCTTTACAATTTCACATGTAATGTCAGGAACAAAAAAAGGTGGCTTTTGTAAAGAACTGTGCGCTGGAAAATGAGATTATTTTTAATTTAAACAGAAACATGTATAAAATGCTTCTTAATTATTTTTAATAGCTTACGGCTTCCTTCTTTACAAGCGCTTATCAAAGAAGCAAAGAGAGCGAAAGGAATTTGCATAATTCCCTTTTGCAGGCCGTAATGCTCTTGAAATGCTTTGGAAATTTTAGCCCTGGAACAGTAAACGTTATAGCAAACGTAAAAAGTGTTGTTCTTTAATATAACCTGCGAGCCGCTGCAGTGTGTACAGGTAAGTACATACGTGCAGCACGCATTACAAAAGCTTGACAATAATTCAAATTTCAAAGGCAGCGATAGGGTTCTTGGCAGGTACACACTAACACTCAGCACGGTCGGCTTTTAGTAAATTTTTCTTCTATACTTCGACGTCTATGTAAATTCTATGAACTTTGCTTCTCTTTTTTTTCTTAACCGTATATGTGATATGCATTTGTAACTTTGATTAATGAATAGTAATTTTTTTCTCAAATGCGAATAGAGTAAGAATATCGTTAGATTTACATATTTGTTAGGAGGTAGCAGCACAGCAATTATCTTAGTGCAGTATTAGTGGAAGTAGTCTTCGACTACCGCAGACTATGAGGTATGTTAAGAATGCGCGGATGTATCAAACGTTCAGAAGTTTTTGGGATAGACACAGCCTTTACTGACCGATTCCCAATCACTTTCTGAATCGATGTAAGCTTGTCTATCTAATCTCAATCCATCTATTGTTGCGTTGATCCCACAGGTCGTAATTTTTGAGATATACTGATGAAATTCGGTACAATGGGACGCTTTGGCACAAGGACGAAAGTTGTTGAAAATAGTTTGGACCTTTCGATTCTCAAATAATTATGTGGGATATTTAATAGGGGGCCTTGGCTCGCTATAACGCTTTTACTTGCTTGAAGAAAAGGCTTCAATTTTTGCATTATAAAAAAATGAAAAACCACATGAGACGTATAGCTGAGGCTTTACTCCAATACTGTGAAAAGTTGTCGTTCTTCTTGCTTTCTCTTCTGCAATCAATTAGTAAAAGAACGTTTTTCGTCTTCCTCATCTTCAGTGTTTGACACGTTTTTTGCCTTCGGCTGGATAATAGAGAATCGGCGGTAATCGGCACTGTTTTACTTTGCCGTTGGTTAACTTTTGCTTTTATTGTATTGTGTTTTGACGTATTTATAAATGACATTTTCTGTTGTCCTTTGAAATTTTAATATTCTTTAAATACAAACAATAAAGAAATGATTACACCTCTCTCTCCGTGCCTGTCCCTCACGCTGTGTATTCGAAATACCGCGTAAAGAGATAGAGTGTACGTCAAGAGCAGCAGAAACCATCGAATGGATTGACACGAGGACGGGACGGTTATGCACAGTTTGGGTTTAATTATGATTAAACATCTCTAGGCCTGCGCGGACATGTGCACATACACACAAACAATTATTATATTAATATTTATAAATGCAAGGAGAGCAGGTCGTATGCAAATAATGGAACATATGCACGCACTTTAATGCGACGGACAATATTGCACACCTGAGGCTTATGTTTGATGAGCATATACATTTTATTCGCTTTTTATTTATATTTCTTTGCGTGCGCCATTGCAAGACGACGATGAAAACGCGCTAATTACGTCACTTTATATGCAAAATACGGAAACGATCTGCAAAAGTCACATAAGGTATAGATACATACACACGCATATATTGATATATGATTCCGATAACCTAAAAACATTATTATTACAATCATCTGTTGCCCTATTTCTTTGAAAAGTTTGAAAGAAAGCGAAAAACTGTACAATTTTAGGGAAACTTCGTAGGAACCTTTTCAGATTTCATAGTAATCGCTGCGTAATCACTTAACAATCAAACCAAAACGTCAAACAGCATTAAATGTATATTATATTTAGTAGCTTTAGGAACAGAGAATATTTACGTCATAGGATATATTTCATAAATATAAAGAAAGCATCAATTTTTCCGCAAAACGTAATCAATAACGTAATCAATCAAGAATGAGTACAAAACAGAAGAAGAATCTACCAAAAGGTGCTAAAAAGAATTTAGGTGCTAAAGGCAACGAGGAGAAAAGCTTGACAAAGGTTGATAGAAAGTTTTATGAGCTGCAGATAGCGAACATTAATAGGAATTTGGCGACAGCTAAACGCCGCTTAGCTTATTTAGAGATACGAAATGAGGAGCTTGAGAAATCTGTTGATAAAGAGGAGCAGGACGAATTATTCGCCCAATTGCAGAATGACATGGAGGCACGCACTAAAGAGGTACTGTCACTGGAAGGGTTTATTAATGAAATGCTTAAAGATCATAAGAGAAAGGAAGAGGAATATGTAGCCCACATAGTAGACTTGGAGCGAAAGTACAAAGCAATGCAAAATCAATTAAAATCCGATATTAAATTGTTATCGGGAAAATTGGCGACGCTCGAGGAGTTTCAATTAGAAAGAGATCGTATTCTGGTATTATTTGAGAATCAGAATTTGGAATTGAAAGCGATGGAAGAGGAAAAGAAAATCCACGAAACTGAGATGGAGGAGAAGCTAATTGTAGAAAGAGAAGAAATGCGTAAAGAAGTTTCCGCGGAGATAAGTAAATTAGTTGAAGATTTTATGCGTTCAACTGAAATACGCAATGCCGGCTACGTGAGGCGGATTATGCGCGAAAATGTTGCACTGCAACAAGAGCTAAAAGCTCTGTTCAAAACATATTACGAGATGAAGGAGCTGATGGGAGATGCCGAGCAACGAGAATATCATCTACGTACGGAAAATCAAACCTTTAAGGATCTAAAAGAGCAATTGCTTCGTAATGCGAACAATAAGCATAAAATCATTGAAAATTTAGTCTCCAACTATGAAAAACTGAAATCGAAGTATATTGAAATGTCAAAGTATCGTAAGCTTTATCAGGATTTAACGAGACGATCTGATTGCGATAACAAAATGAAAATGAAGACCGAGGCAAGGTTGAAAGTGCTTAAGCAACGCATCGAACTTGTTGAAAGGGAGAGAAACAAACTGATGAGTAGTAATCAGAGGCTAGAGATTGACGTTCAACATCTTCGTGGGACGATCAACAAGGCAAAGTCCGCTATTTTAAGTTATGCCGACTCGACGGATTACCTCAAGCAAACCTATAGAAAAGTAAGCGTAGATACCTTTGACACGGAACAATACCTCGAATCGGAGCGTCAGGGTTTATTAAAAAGCCTTCAAGAAATCTTATGCGCGCACGTGCAACAGAACGAAGATATCCGGACGCCCTCGATTGAAACATTAGAACGTTCAAAAAGTTCTATTTATCGAATCGGCGACGCTGGATTCGTCCCACTAACCCAGCCGTCTTTAATGGAGTTATTCAAAGAAACTCGCCCATCACAAGACCCTCTAACTACTGCCGCAGATCGAAGAGTTTCGCAGTTAGAGCATGGCTTGTGTATACCAAGGGAACGTCAAATTGAAAACGCGTACTTAATCGATGTTGAGATTGGCTCCGATTTCTTTGCATCTTCGTCGGGACCCGAAATGGTAGACGAAGTTGAGGAAGTAGCTGAAGAAGAAGAAGGGGGAGAAAGTTCAAGTGGAGATGAAGTTCCTACTCTTCCGTTGAGACGCGTAACAGAGAAAGGGGAGAGCAAGCAATTAATAGTTGAAAAGACAAGTTCGATCGTTTATTCGTCCCCAAGTGCTGAAGAAGTCATATCACGTTATTCTGTTTTAACTTCGGATTTCTTGGAAACAATCGAAGAAATTCAAATTGAGGAAGGCATGTAGTTGTGTGTGTGCACGTATATTATTTTAATTATATAATTATATATATATATATTTGTATTACGTGCACATTTTGCGAATATATTTGCGTATATATTTTGTGAATATGTTGCAATAGAATAAAACAAAGGCTTGAACAAAAGTAATGAGTAGCTGGCAAAAAAAGAAGGAAGAACAGGTAAGTGGCTTGCATCGCATACTCATATATAATGGAAGTTGATACGGACGATTGGCAAATTGTAATATGAGTGTAAACAACGTTCTTTCTATTAGGATGTGTTTGTTAAAACGACACCATGACGTTGTCACCCAACTGTTCCGTCACGGAAGGTTAAAGGGTAGCAAATTTTATTTCTCAAGAGTTCTCTCTCCATTGATCTGCCAAAATAGCGCAGAATGGCGCAAAACTTTTACAGATCGAAGCAGCTGGAGGGAGTAACAGCTGAAATTCAAATCTCTCCGCAATCAAATCAAGTGTACCAGAAACTCAGCCATGAGCTATAATTAAAGGATCCATCACATCTAACTATTGGAAAAAGAAAAACTGAAGTGAAGTGAAGTGTCGGTTAGAACCGACTACCACATTTTTCTTTCGCAAGCAAGGTTTTTCATGCCGAAACTAAGGGGATGAGGGTTTTTTCTCTTCTGTACTAACCTTACTACGAAGCTAAGAAGTATAAAAGAGAGCAAATAGTCAGTTGTGTCGCTATTTTCTTCCCGAATATTGAAAAATGTTTGTCATGATAGGTCTTATCGGAGGCAAGGGCTTAGACGAAGACTTCCCCAAGAAAATTGCTATATGTATCCGATTTTCCGATAGAAATCACAAAACTTGTGCCTTTAAGATGTGAGATATAGTGAATTAAGATTACCGAGCAGAAAAATAACGTGCGGCGAAGGTTTAACTCATGAAAAAGCTGAAAATTTGCAAAGAATAGGGAAAGGATCAAGCTATAAGAACGCGCTTTCGCCGATCTTATTCAATGCGTTAACTCCGAATAATCGATGAGGGAACTGCGGACGCAGCCCTCTCATTCTTCTGAGGATAAACTGCACATATATTTTTAAAATTTCGCAAGCAAAAAAAACAAAAGCAAAAAAAAAATGAATTTTATATTTATTTTTATTTTACTACTTCGTTATTGACTATTTCAAATTAATCTAATGATTTGCAGACGTGCTTTAATATAACTACGTAAACGTGACCAAAATTGCTATTGAGAGAGAATATTTCCCAATTTTTATGCAAAGTCCTATTTCCTTTTCTATTTTCCAATTAATATAAAATACGTTTTTATTGATTTTTTATGTTCGCATGTCACTTAACTCACAAGCTGTTTTCATCAATCATTTCGAAATTTTTTTATTTTTATTATTAAAGAAATTTCTATTTAAACGAAAAATAATTTGACTTTAGAAGTTTGCAAAGTATGTCAAATTAATGTTATACGGATATAAAAATATTATCGCTTCATTCGAAAATGTATAACAATAATATACAAACCATTTAAGCAAATATTTATTTCGTTACCGACATTTGTATGCTTTTGGTGTGCGTTTACATCAATTCGTCCCTACCCTCCCCTCACCCGCGGTAAAACGTAAAAGCAAAGCACTAAAAGTAAAAGAGACCACAGTGGCAATTGATTGATGGTGTTGTGCATTTTGCATCTATTTTAATGTCTCTCAGTCAATGTTGTTTTTTTTTTTTTCTTTATTATTTGTTTACCGTATTTCAGGTTCTTGATGGCATCATTTTATAAAGTTATCGCCGTTTGCATTCGTGCAACTTCCATCACTTTGTTTACCTTCTAAACGGACATCATAAACTGTTTATGGGTCATAAGCAATAATACAAAATACGTAAACCGTCAACCGCACATTAATATGGTCGACAACTAATACAGTCTAAACCGACAACTTTGTAGTGTTTCGCATTTAATTAACGCGAGATGAGGGAAAGCATAAAAGTAAAGAAAATAGATATAAATAGATATTAGATGTTTGTAACTGTGGTTGAATTTACAATTTTTATGTTTTTCCCTCCACCCAAAAGCACAATTTGAAATGTACACGCTTGTACGATGTATTATATACACTTGTTGTATTCACATTGGCGGAAAGGGGGATGGACAGGCGGACAGATGAAACTAGCGGAACTTGAAATATTACGCTGTTGAAGAATACGTTGGGTGCTCGCTTACACACATACGCAGAAGGATAAATCGGATATATCACCGTTCGTTGGCGGCTAATAGAAAATAAAGACGCTTTAACGTATATTGATACCGATGAGGGTATCTCTTGGAGTAGTGTGTTCATAATAAATACAAAACTTCGCCTAAGGTAGCCTTGGTAAAGTAAAACTTGTTTATGATATCTTGCTATCCGCTTCATTCCGCTTGTAGAGCCTACAATTGCACGACTTGATTAGTTATGTACACTTCTGCTAAACATGATTAACGTACATTTACAGAAACAGTTGAAATTTGGCGCAATTTTCCCCAATAGAAATTTAAATACAGACGTGGACTCTTAACCTCGAGAGGCAACTGGCCAACGTATTTTCGTCGAAATAGCTTATGGTAAATATTAATATTAATCCAAAGAAGATTAGTAGCGTTACATAAATGTATTTTAATTGGTCTCAAACCCGATCCGGTGATATGGCCCCACCGCCCTTCGGGTTTTGGGTATCCTAGCTTTTGCTAACCTAAGCAAATCACGAACAAAAGTTACGTATAATTTTTGTTCCTAATTTTTTCCCGCAGCAACATAAAACGGAACGAAAATTTTTGTTCCGAAATATATTTTTTGCGAAAGTATCAATAAACACTTGCTTGCCATGACTTTACGAATATCATGCTTGTTTACCTTTTCTTATCATATTTTCAAGGAATTTTTTTTGAGTGTACATTTCACAAACAACTTATTTATTTTGATTGGCATTATTTGCCGTCATTTCACATATACATATATGTATATTTGTATGACTTTCGTGATATTTTTTTCGCAATCTACTAATGAGTTCCTTTGCATGGCTTTATCCTTCTTTTTATACCTTGTTATGTGCTTCGACTGTTAACCGGAGAAAATATTTCACAAACAGTGCGACCTTAAAGGCAAAACAGTCCCCCTTTCTCTCTCTTTATTTCTTATGGTACGTACGCATATATACATGAGGAATGTTTGTCTCAATATGTAGTAAATCACAGTCAAAATCAAAATAAATAACTGTTTTTTGATTTTTCGCTTGTCTTTTTTATACGTTGTCTATAGCCGTCCACGAATCTTTAGTCTCGTTTTTTTTTCTTTTTTTTCTAAAGAATTTTCAATTATATGAGAGTCGGTTGGATATTTGGTGGAAAATGGATTCGCTACCACGTAAGTTGGATAGCGGTCAGATTGAAATAAAATAAACTAACTAATGAGGAATGCGTGCAAACTACACATGGCCGATTAGTGTAAATGTAAATTAATGTAAATTATAACAAAATTAAAAACATTCCAGAATAGTAATAGGAGAGGTTTCCTTCCAGTGCCAACAAAATTTATTCTCAATATGAAAGTTTTTGCATTAGTAAATTCAGTTTTGTAATGAATATTGTCGAGCTGCACTGCGCTGTCTGCACTGAAAGCACTACGTACCTTAACGTGAAGCTATAAATTAAATTTTAATATAGAAAAGCACCGTAATACATATTTGATGGGCTCCAAATGCAAAGTCTTTGAATATAAGAAAATGTTCTGCCATATTAAATTACGAACTACGTAAGGCCCATGTAATAAGTAATCGGACAAGAAAAGTTATGTTTCTCGATATCTTACACTATTTTATACATTAATGTCTATGCGCATATGCATACATGCACACAATTCCCTGATATATATGTATGCACACTTTATCAAAAGGAATTCAATGGTTGTTAAGTTTCACTTGTATGCATATGCATACATCTCATATGTATGTATGCATATATATACAAGCCTTCATCTAAAGGGACTACAAGTGTCGAATAAACAGAAACAATGTGTCTAGTGTATGTTTCGGTATAGTTTCTCTTCCACTTTAGTTGCAAAAAAATCCATACACATTTCATGCATGCATGTATGCATGCAAATTATATGTTGTCATATATTATGCACATATATATGTGAACATGAAAAGCGGTTGCAAAAAGTCCTAACTTATCTGGAATGTATTCTTGTAGTTTTCATGTAGTTTGCTTAACTTTAATGGCTTAGTTTGCATATATATTCAAGCGTACTTACAAGCACACATAGAACAGAACGAATTTTTCCTCGTAATCACCGAAAAAAGGAATGTAAGAAAAAATTCATTTTATTTGAACAATTTTCGAGTAATTCTGTGGTCTACATACTATACATTTTCTATTTGCTTATATATTTGGTTGTACTGATAACCGTTAATAATGTCCTTGCATGCTTCTCTGCTTTCCACATTTATACGTCTCTCTGTCTCTCTCTCTCTCTCTCTCTCTCTCTCTCTCTCACTCTCTGATAATTGCACACACATACATGATGATCTCATATATTATAAAAACATCTGCATTTAGTCATATTAGTTTTACTTTACTTCTATTTTTGTTATTTTCCTCTTCTTTTTTTTTTTTAGAATAAATTCTAAATAAACAAAATTATGTGAGTGAAATCTTTATTTTCATTTATGTTTATATTTCGACCGATTTCATTGTGTGTGTGTGTGTGTGTGTGTGTGTGTGTGTGTGTGAATAGAAAATCACAAAAGTTTTAAACCAAATTTTGTTTAACTGTGATTAGATTATATGCCTATGCAGAATTCAACTGAATTAGAAGGCGTGAACGAAAAAAAATTCCCCGCCTTTCTTCGAAATTTCTCAAAGGGTCCGTTTTGCAAATGAAAGCTAGGAGCTCACTAGGTGACCGACTTAAAGGTTATGCTTTGTTCTATTTTACATGACATCCTCGTACAACTTACACGCGTGTCTACCTTAAAAGAAAAAGAGTTCGAGTATATTGTACTGGTCGGAAAAAGCTTAACAGCTTAGCGCCCATATTAGATATAGGCTTTATAATTCCACCAAATCATATAAAGATTATGCTCCTAGAAAAGGTTACGAGCTATCGGATCGGATTGCTCCGGCTTGGTGTGCGTTACTTTGATTGCAAGAGAGTCGCTATTTCGCTGCCATAAAACAGATCACCTGAACACTTTTCCTCAATATTGCCAAACTGAAGCACAATACTCCAAGGGTTTCCAAGGGTAAAAAGCTTTCCCGGCTTTGTTAGAAATGTTAATTTCACTATCGCTAAAAACACGAAAAGAAAAGTTTCACATCTTGCGGCTACTGCTAAAGAAATGAATGTTCTTTCAAGTCATGTAAACCGCCTTAACCAAATTAATTTGGAATTGCAAGCTAACTAAGAATAGATTCTTTGAATAATCTTTAATTACATTTTTGAACATAAGAAAAGAAAGAGTGAAACTGAAATATACTCCATGCATTGTATAACTAATATAACGCATTCAAAGTTCATTTGCACTGAATTAATAACTTTACTGCGCTCTCTTTATTGCTCTTTATAAATTGCTGTTAAATGGAACGTGTTGATAAAGAGCAATCAATTACAATTTCATTCACGATGTGCATACATATT